AGCACGAACCTGGGCTTCTATGCATGTCCATGCTTTTTTTGCTATGGGAATTATGATTGTGGCACTCGTGGGATTTCTGGTTCGGACCTGGTGGGTCTATCAGATATTCCTCTCCATAGCAACTCTTCCCTTTGTCTTGTGCTGCTGGATGCTCCCAGAAACACCTTTTTGGCTCCTGTCAGAAGAAAGATATGAAGATGCACAAAAAGTGATTGATACAATGGCAAGATGGAATAAAGTAAACACTCCCTGCAAAGTTTCTGAACTGTGCTCAGTCCAACAAGATGATCCAGTCAGTGGCAGAACGAGTGAAAATGACATGTCCTCAACAAAGAAGCACAACATCTTAGACCTGTTCTGTAACTGGCAAATTGCAAGAAGGACCATCACAGTCTGGCTGATCTGGTTCACTGGGAGCTTAGGGTACTACGTCTTCTCCCTCAGTTCTGTCAGTCTAGGAGGCAACGAGTATTTAAATCTCTTTCTCATAGGTAAATATTTTTGTACTTTATTCTGTTAATTACAGAACTGGAATATAACATTTAGAAATATCTATAGATTTGACAGCCAATTTTTTACTTTGTTCATTCAATTATGAACCTTGTTCAAAAAGTTTCTTGCTAACTCTTCATAAAGTTGACTAACACAGGAATATCATTCACTCCAAATCTGTTTCCAAAAAAAAAAGAATTTAAAATTTGATGGTGTACAAAATTCTTCTCTATCCGTCTTTCTGATTGTAAAACTGTATTCTGCTTGTCTGCTCTTTGCCCTGCAAGCATGTAGCAGATCCACACAAACACCAGGGGAAACAGACGAGCAACACAAAATTTGCACTGCACTGTTAAAGGCACAAACTAGGAAAATGGGAGAAAAAAATTATTCTTTTTATCCCTTACAGTCATCATATATTGAGTTTGTCTGTGTAAAAAACAGATTCATAATTCTCACAAGCAAGACTAATTTTAGTTTTCTCAAAAGTATATTTTTTATTAAGTTGCAATATTATCTTATCATTCTGAGTATAATCTTTCTCTAGTATGTAAGCTTTTTGTTGTTTACAAAGGCAGTTCAGTGCATTCAAGGCCTGATTCAAAGTTTGTTAAGATCAGTGGAAATATTCCATTGACTTCAGAGGGCTCTAGATCAGACACCTAGCTCTGACCCAGCAAAGAATTAAATCATGTGCTTTGCTTTGTGCGACTGAGTACTCTCAGTGAAGTGAATGTGACTGATCGTGTACATAAGCACACAGAAGGATTGGGGCTGTCATGAATTCAGTTTGGTTTGTCATGTATTACAGTGTATTGTTAGACTGATGTGTTGAAGAATGGAAGCTAGTATTGCACAGATAACTAAAATGTTAGGTTGGAGTACACCATATCCACCTCTTCTAAAAATATTAGCAGACTAACAAACACATAATAATTGCACAAGCCCAAAAGATTTTTTCCTGATATTACAGGTGTAATGACATGCCATACGCACTCAATAAAGGAATGCAGCATATTTGTTCAGGGCTGTATCTTATGTTCTTCCTTGATTTTACATTGGACATAGTAGCATTCTTCATGAGCAAATTGGTTTAAAACATGTCCAAAGTGGCTTAGGCTCAATATCATTTGTCTTGGGGCAAATCATGGTTATACACTATTTGTGAACAGTCCTTGCCAAATGCCAGTTCCTTCCTGCAGAAGTTTTTCTCCAGAAAGAGACATTAGAAAGAGACAATCTGTGTTAAGAGTGGGATGTTGTAAGCAGCTGCTCTCTTTTTTATAGAGGAGAGAGTAAGCTGGAACTGCACTCTGTATTTGTGAAGCTGACTCAAAAAACTGGACTTGGAGAGACCTTGCTTGCCATTTACTTTGGGATGATTTTGAGCTGAAGCTGGGGGAGGCACATGTGCCTTCAATTCTGTGTCCAGGTGGAAGCTAGCAAGTCCTGAGAGGTGTGTTAGTATGACACTAACAATATTCCTTGTGGGCATACTTGAGCTGTTGTGAAAATACTTGAAGGAGAAGAGCAGCAAATGTACAGCTTTAAGACAAAAGTGCCAGTATCCTAAAAGCAGAACTGTGGCCTTGATGTTTTCTGTCATTTTCCATCCCAAGGAGAACTGGAGCTGCTCTGCTCTGTGAAACCTGTTTCCCTTGTCCTTCTCCACTCTCATTACCGTATTTAAGGCCATTTTCTGCCTCCTGTCACCATTTCTGTTACCAAATGAACTAGCCCAGCACACTGGTTATCTCTAGATTTTACATATTTATTACCCCCTAGATTAAATTAATCCTCATAAAGAGGAAGTTAGAGTTATAACATGAATATGTGTAATCATGACTTAAAATGAAATAATTTCATACTAACAGGTGCTGTGGAGTTGCCTTGCTATATCATTGCTTGCGTTGCGATGGACAAACTGGGAAGGAGAAACACACTCATTCCGTTCCTTATTTTAAGTGCACTGATCTGTGTTTTAATTATGTTCATACCTCAGGTTAGTCACGTATTGTTGAAAGTGTTCCTATAGCAGAAATTGATTTTAAAGGCTCTTAAGTCAGTAGATGCAGCTGCTCTCTCTAAACCATATAGTTGATTAAAGGCTGGTTTTAAATTGCAGCTGCCAGTCTAAGGTAGATTTCTGCATTTTCAGTACAGGTTTCACTGTCACTGCTGGAATCACATGTAAAATGTTCCTAGGACTTCAGTGAACCAGGACTGGTAAAGAGTGATATGGACATTAGTAACTTACTGAGCAATTTTTAAAAAGCAAGCAATAAGCATTGCTTATAAAGGTTCACAACTTATGAAGAATTTCAATTATGTTTGAAAGTGTTATTTTCTGGTGATATATTTATTTGTGCTCTCTTTCAATAGGACTTCAGTATATTAATTATTTTAGCAAATATGGCTGGAAAATTTTCCATAGGTGTGGCATTTGGCCTTATATATCTCTACACAGCAGAACTGTACCCAACAATTGTAAGGTAAGAACTTTCACCAGTTATGTATTTTTCATTAATTGGATGTTATTTCATTCCCTTTGTTATTGTTCTGCACCTGATCCAGCAGCTCTTGGCATCAGTGGAGGTGATCTGAAAGACTTGGGATGGGATGAGTTCAGAGTTGTCTGGTGTTTGGCTGTACCATAGTTTTTTATTCATTTTTTATTAATTTTCCATTCCATGTGCATTGATTGGTTCCATTGGGGAAGTGGAAGAATACTCAATACTTTCTTAAACATTTTTTATGCCTTTCTTAAAAGTCCTGGTTATTCATCCTGGGATCTGTGCTGAATGATGATTATATTTTTAATCTTAATTACAGAAGCAGCTGAATTTCACTACAACATAAATTTACCTTGGCATAGTGACAGCTTCCTAGTATAATTGCTTAAAGACACAAATCCTACTGATGTTTTAAGTGTCTGTGCATTTCCAATTGTTTCCTTTATCTGCTAGAATTCTTAATCAAATTTTTTTAAGTCTAGATCACTTGCTGTTGGAAGTGGAAGCATGATGTGCCGTGTAGGAAGTGTGGTTGCTCCTTTCTGTGTATATCTGAGAAGTGTTTGGATTTTCATGCCACTTGTAAGTATTTATTTCAATGATGAATGTTTCTGGTTTTGACAAGGTGTATGTGTTACTTGTTTTCTCTTTACTAACTTGCCAAGTATGTTTTTCACATGACAAAGGAACCAAAAGCTGAACGTTTATTTTGAAAAGAAAATTAAGTAAGCCATTCTTGTTCAAAATTTTAAGTCCCAAAGATTAGTCGCTTCATATTGTTAAATTATTGCAGCTAAAGCAAAAGGGAGACTTTGAATCACTGAAATATTCTAAAATGTTTTTATGACTGGAGACAGAAAAATATTTATGCACTGAATCCTAGAATAAAATTGATTAAAATATTTTCCGTTAAAATATTCTGCATCTACTGTGTAACATTTAGGAAGTGTCATAGTCCATACTTTTTTGCAGGCCTAGCAGATTTTGACCATGCTCCTGACTTATTCTCACCCTTCTTCAAAGGCATAGTTCTTCCATTCTTGAACTCACCACAGGTGGCTGGTTTTTCTTACGTTATGCCTTAATATTTTCCATGGCTTCCCTGGGACATTGCATGTTTGGAATAGCCTTCCAAAAGATTAAGCATGTTTTGTGCTTACTACAGCTGGTCTTCAAACCTGCCCCAAAGGTCCCTCTCTGTGTTCATTTACAAGAACTAAACAAAACAATTTGTGAGACAGAAAAAGAGAAGGAAATGGTATATTGATGAGGTTCATGGTGGCTTTGACAAGCAACAGAACCTTGTATTCATTAAGCACACCTTACTTTTTAGGTAACTCCAGGCCATGTTTTCATTAGGGTTTGTCTTCTACCACCAGTTGCCCCAGAAAAGAGAGGTGGAACCATTCCTTTGTGGACTTTAGGCATTTTGTCTGCATTATGTAGCAGATCCATTTTGGACAAAATATTTTAAGTATTTCCTGCTTACAGATGAATCATGTTTCTTCATTGCATTTCTCTTATGAAGCATTTGCTGCTTGGAAGTCCTGCAGCTACTCAATCCCTTTTTTCCCTTGAAGGATAAATTATGCCTATATATGTCAAACCAGAAGGAATTACAAAGTTTATATTAAAATTTTAAGTAAAGAAGAATTTATTATTGATTGAAAATAGTTTGAATTCTTTCAAAAACCCCTTGGGATTCACTGTTACTAGCACACTGATGTTTTATGTAGATTATACATATCTGAAGATGAAAATGTAATGGGATGTGTCTTTAACCTGGATTCTTACTCAAATTTTGTCCACCACATTGGAGTTTCCTGAAAAAGTGCATTGTGCCCTTTTGATTTTGCAACTATAAAATCTCCAATTATAGATGGTAGAGATTGGTTTCAGAGAATTCTTGTAAGCTCATTTCATTATTTAAATTAATTACTTTTGGTTGTTTTGGATAAAAACTAAGAGGATGAAGAAGACCACAAATTAATTTATCTCCTCAAGCTCCTAAAAATGTTTTCTTTCTTAACAATGGCCCCCCACAAACCAAAATATCATCCCAGAAAAGACAAAGAAACATTTGCACAGTAGAGTGATCATGGGAGAACATTCTTTTTCTCTCGTCAGCATTTTGCCTTAACTGGATGAGATAAGCTTTAGTATCCGTGCAGAAGTGCTGCAGTTCAACCACAGATGGGGAATGCTCAAACATGCTGGAGAGCAGTGCAAATTGCAGTATAAATATAGGAATTATTTCAGCTATGAACAACAAAAATTATCCAGAGTATTTGTAGAGTTGTGTAGTAGTTCACAGTGAATATGTTTCCATTATTAGCTCCTGTTGTAGAACATTTGTCAGATTATTAAATAGGCTTCTCTTGTGTTGGAGCATAGCATGCCAAGTCTCAGGTCAAGTAAGCCTTTTGGAATGGAAATGAAATAAAATGGATTATATTTGTGAGTAAACTGATATATATCACACTGACCTATTGTATACACTACACATTGTCGAGCAGTCAATACTGCTATTTGACAGTCTGCCTCATGTACAGTTATGCCACCTGTGAGTACTGCAAGTATTTCATTTGAATGACTATAAATCTTGAATAACTTGACAAGTATGTTTTTTATATGACAACTTTATAGAAAATGTACAGTAAAGCAACTGCTCCATGTATAACCTATTCCTGTTTCTCAGCTGGTAAGAATTATGTTACAATAGCCCATTAACAGACTGGATTTATCTCTCAGAAAAAACATAAATTAGAAATTTAAGAAGACCCCTATGAAGTCAGTAAAATTAAATGAATGCAAATCCTGTGTCTAATACTAGTGGATTTTCAGGTCAAAATTTAACCTTTTTTGTTGCAGTAGAAGTATTATTTTTAGGGATATTTAATTCAAATTACCTTTTGTTCTGGACTAAATATATTAAGTCCTGGTCTTAGACCACTGTGAAATTATAATTGTTGCTCAAGGAAAGGCAGAGGACATATGAAAAATGATGGTGCGTCTTTTTTTGAAGTTTTTTATGGTAGATAGTAGAAGCTGCTGGCTGTACTGAAGTGTTGGGAGTACTCTGAGAGTTTGACTAAGCAGATAGTCAGATTTCAAAAATTAAGGCCCTGAAAATGCAATTCATTTAAGAAGGTACACCTGTCAAATTAACCTCAATGCAGCTTAAATGTACTTAGATATCTTGTACAATAGTACACTTTATTCCGTAAGCATTTGACTATATTAGAACATTTTCTGATACTGAATCATATGTTTAAAATAGTACATACATACAAAATTTACATATTTGTAATGAGCAAGCAAAGGGCTAAATTATATCAGATGCCTTATGAAGCAGTATGCCAAGATAAGACAGCAAATGTAACTTCATTGATAACTGTGGCTACTGCCCTTGAAAATGTAGATAATGTTTGAGAAGCCCTTGAATAAATACACTGTGACTTAATTTTTCATATTTTGTTTTTCATAGGAAATATTGGAAAATGCTTTGTAGAGTCAGGGAGAAGGGAAATGCAGGAATTACATGCATGCATCAGCTTTCACATAGAAAAATCTTCTTTTCACATAGAATAGAAGAAAACATGATGGAATAGAGTTATGAGAGCCAAGTTGAAAAGGCAGGAAAGATGGCGATGTGTACGCTTACAGAATAGTGAGAGTTCTCAGGGGGATAAGAGGTAGGTTATGAGGAAGGAAAACATGAGAAGAATGCCAAGTGTCTAAAAGACTAACTGAAACAGAGAAGACACGCATATTTAAAGCACAGTGTTGCTTTAACCTTTTTCTGTTGGGTATAAATAGTGACCCTGTTCTCATACACTCCAAATGTATGGGTGTCCGTAAGATTCAATATTCTTTATAGACTGTAATATCCTCAAATATAAACTTAGGACAGGCTAAAGGATGTGCATGAGAGAGGTTACTGTGGAATAGCTGCCATGTGTCACTTCATCCTGTCTTCCCATAGCAGAAAATCATATTTTATTAGTAGAGAATTCTGACACACAGAGATGAGATTTTAGTGTTTTAGAATATATTTTTAAATATCACTCCTGCCACATATGTCTACAAGAATTTCTCTCAATTTGTCACTGAGGCACCGTTTGTGCCATTTCTTCTGGTTCTATTACTGTTAGGATTTTTTTTTTTTTAATTTTCATGGTAAGAGCATGACTATTTTATTTTCACTGTAGTTTGCAGTATTTAGCAGGATTTTGCCTTTTTTTTTTATTTTGTCAGCCTCTATATTTAATGCAAGTGCAAAAAGAGGACTGTATGCAACAGTATGACTTTTACTTCTCAAAATAATGCTTGAGACAAACTGTCCTCTTCTTTTGGGGGGGAAGGGAAGCAAAACTAGCATAGTGCATGTACATGAAAATGGAACGGTTCAAAGTTACAGTAGAGATTTCTGATATTAAAGCACCTTTCTGACTTAAAGTCTGGCTTAGCTGCAGATGGTAGCTGGCCAGTTCTTGTCTCAAGTTCTATGTGAGAGACATAGGCAGAATAATTCCAAATGTCCTCTCTCATATCTGGAAAGAATATATTAAACACAGGACAGACTTGAGAATCAGCAAGATAAAGATAATACAGTATCAAAGTGCACAGTCATAGAATGGAAAAACACTGAGACCAGGCATGATGTACTGTGGGAAAGCATTTCTATCAGGAGAGATTTGGGTCATTTATAACCCGGTGTTGAGGAATGTCAGGGTTTTAATCCTATTCTGTCCTCAAAGGAGGAAAGTGTGGATTGTTCTCATTGAACAAGACATAGAAATGAAAGGGAAGAGTAAATATTCCTGGAGCAAGTGTGTGCTTCTCTATCTACCCACATTATCCTGATCCTCGCACCACTCGTGCTGAAGTAAGCTGTTGTTATGGAACTGTGTACACCACGGACAAATCCAAAATGTGATCCCAGTGCAACTGTCAGTAGATGCCTGCACTCCTAACAGTTCTTTGAAACTGAATTTGACGAAGTATTCTTGTTGAGAGCTCATCATCTGCTGAAGAGCTCTCCTGAGCACGGATGTGCACTTTGTGGCTCGAGGCCAATGAACCATACTAAGAAATTTCAGTCTGGCTATGCAGGAGGGACAGGCACACAGGTACAAGTATAGCTACACAGGAGCTGGAGAGTGAATTGAGATTACAGGTGGCAGGGAAATTGTGGCTCTGTGAACATGCATGTAAAAATAAATGTATGCAATCCTAGAATCAGTTCTTAAATACATGCCTGATAGCAGAAATACAAAATGAAGATAATATATATTGTTTTCTCAGACAGAATTATTCCTGTTTGCACTGTATTGATCCCTTGTGAACAAAACACTTCACTTGCTCACTGATAAATTGTGCTGCATAATCTTTCATTTATGCAACAAAAAAAGGTAGATCTATATAGGTAATATTTAAGACTTATGATCTTTTCTTTGCATTTCAGTTCCTTGTGCTTTATTTTAAATATGCTCTCAAGCAAGATCAAAACTACAAACAACTTGAAAGACATTTCTACCTTTACAGCTGCTGTTTATTTCTTCCAGTTGCTTGTTGGAATC